AGGGGGATCTAATAAACAGTATGGCCAAAGGTACCCAGGTGAGCGATGTGGCCTTGGCATCTTGTATTGAAAAAGCAGTTGTCAATGATAGTGAAGATTTGCGTTTACAAGAGATGATGCAGATTGTTATGTCCGTCAACTGAGATCCATACTTACTGGTATTACTTCCGAGTCCAAATTCTGTGTGGATTTTAAGGAGGAAGGGAAACCGGTGGGATACTTATTGTTAACCTGTTTCGTCAGCTGTTGTTTCAAAGCCAGACATAAGCCAGACATGGCAGGAGATGCCCACTCCTCCATGGCACTTGATCCCACCTCTGTCGTATTGGAGGTCCGTGTTTGCTTTTCTCTTATTTTGCGATACTTATTGTTAACTTGTTTCGTCAACTGTTGTTACAAAGCCAGATCGGGAATAACTGTGTATAAGAAAGAAGATAAAAGGGGCTTGAATATTTTTTCTGAGGTCATCATATATAATTAACCAATCGTGTTTTGTAGATACTAGTATTATATAAATCTATGTAGATGTGTATAAGTGTGTTTGTATTTCAGGAAGAGAAGAATACTATTGATTAGGATGAATTTCGTCACTATTTGAGGTCCCTTATCATTGCATGTACTCTTGATATGGCTACATTGCACGGTAGTTCTAATGTGTCTACATTGCAGGATACACCACAGATTCAACACATCTATTTCATATTTGGATATTTTCATTGAAAAAGACGTTTGGAAATCTAATAAACAAGCTCTATGATAAACGTGATGACTTTAACTTTTCAATCGTCAACTTCCCTTCCTTATGCAGCAAATATACCTTCATCATCTGCATACGGAGTTTATATCTCTCAGTTGATTCGATAGGCAAGAGCATCCTCTACGTTTGTAAATTTTCGAAAACGAGGCAAATAATTGAAAAACAAGTAAATGAAACAAGAATATCAGCAGTCTCGTTTAAAGTCATCATTTCGTAACTTTTATGGTCGGTACAATGACCCTGTCAGCAAATACAATTTATCATTGATGTGAGTCAACTGCTGACTGAAGTTTTTCATACTAAATGTTAGTCATTTGCGACACTGAATTTACGACGATTTTTTTCATTATTTCCCGATCATGACAAGGAGCACACGGTGTGTGTGAGCGGTTGGCAGGGGTGCTCACTCCTACATGGCACCTGATCCCACCTCTTTTGTTTTAGAGGTCCTTGGATGCTCTTCTCCTATTTTGTATTGTTTTATGGGCTTTTGATCTTGAATATTGTTCGTTATCTCCATATGTTTCATTGATATGGCTACATTGCACGGTGCTCCTAACGTGGTTACATTTCACGGTACTCCTGATGTATCTACATTGTATGATACTCCTAATGTGTCTACATTGCAGGGTACTCTTGATATGGCTACATTGCACGATACTCCTAATGGGTTTACATTGCACGGTATTCCTAATGTGTCTACATTGTACGGTATACTCCTAATTTGGCTACATTGCAGGGTACTTTTGTGATGTCTACATTGCACGGTACTCATAATGTGTCTAAATGCACGGTACTCCTAATGTGGCTACATTGTATAGTAAACTCCTAATGTGTTTGCATTGCAGGGTACTCTTGATATGGGTACATTGTACGGTTTTCCTGATATGGCTACATTGCACGGTAGTTCTGATATGGCTACATTGCACAGTACTCTTGATATGGCTACATTGCACGGTAGTTCTGATATGGCTACATTGCACGAGATCAAATTAGGCGTTCACTGACCAGGGCCTCTATCTCGCACCGTTTTCGAGTTACGAGACGAAATAGAAATCGGTGCAGAACGGTATTTTACCTTCATTCCTAGTAAAAACCGTTTTCTTGGCGCTTGAAAAGCTCTCACGGTGACCTCTTCGATCGACCAAGTACGTCGCTCGGAAAAAAAATCTATTCTTGATCAAGTGGATATTACAAGAAAACTTTTTTTCAATTCATTGTACATGTACTTGCTGGGCTTTGATTGGCCACGTCTATTTCTCTTTTCTCTAGATATTGTATAAGAATTTTTTGCATTGTTAACAAGGTTTTATATTTTTATAATAAAAGGCTCTAAATTTCAACAATTTCTACAATACATATACTTCTTATGACCTAATTTATTTTTTAAAGTCTTCTTGAAAACACTATCAAAAACAGGAAATATTAAATTTACTATTAAAAAGAGAAACGGAAATTAAAAAAAGAAATAAATTATCGTGAAATAAAGCAAATTAAACTGACAAAAACTCATTAAATCAAAGATTACAAATATGCATGTACACACAAAAACAAACAAAATGTAAAAATACATGTATATTTAACCCATATAAAAATCAGGCCAAAGGAAACACATGCAAAAATAAACTTTAAAAGACGATTATTTTATAAAACTATTAAACTGACCTATAAATGACGGCTTATATTACCGATTTAAATTTTGACCCGCACTAGTTTCTTCAGTATTTTCCAAACGTAGTTAATCTTTTGAGTCGATAAGTAAAAGTGAATTAGAAATATCAGTATCAGAAATACATTTTAATTTAGCTGTTTCTGCGAAAAGACAGTGCATTGAAAGACAAATTTACATAACAAAATTCAATATTCATGAGGACAAGTTGGTCATTAAAAGATTTTTAATCCTCCGCTCATTGTGAATTAATCACGGAACTTAATTTAAACCACTTTTTAATCTTATTGTTGAATTTAAATCCTATTTTTTAATCCGCTATATCAATTTACAACTGGCCGCTAATCTGTTGCATTAGAGGCAAAGCGTTCACACATTCTAATTCTATACCTTTATAATGTGACCACGGACTAAAATTGTTGGAAATGTAATTTTAGGATTCTGATAAAAATAACTATGTCTTGGTGGACGGGTGATATTAGGAATTACTCCGAAGAGGAATTCCATGGCTATTTCAGTGAGATCAGATTGGTTGCCATGCGTACATTGCCCAGAAAACCACCAAAAGAGATTCTTTCCCTTCTGCAGACAACCTCGGTACACTCGCCATATGCTCAGGCAGAATCTGCTATCACAACACCTTCCTCTCTCCAGAGTACTCGTGAATTTTCATACCTCCCGGAAACCACCGAATTTGCTTACTCGCCAAATCATGATCTTCGGCTTGACCTTGGGACCCCCAGCACAACAGACGAACGCTTCAGTTACTTCCCTGTCTCCGCCAGGAATCGGCTTCACCAGTGGCAGCAATTCCAGAATGACGAATCTCCAAGGCCAAGGGATAGCAGCAAAAAGAGTTCCACCTTCAAAAAATTTGCATACGGCATGGCTTTGTATGTAGCCGTCGCTCTTCTTGCTCTTCTCATCATTGTTGGGATTTTAGTATCATCTCTTAAAACAATGGACAACAATATCAGTCAGTTAAAACCAGTAAGTACTTTGCTTGTATAAGCTTGAAAGGTCATAAAATTCAAGTGTTTCTTGACAGGTTTAAGCAAAATGGTTACTTTGATCCGTCCATAGAATATCTGGTAGATCATGCAGTTTGAGAGAATGAAAGGAAAAACAAGGACAAATGCAGCAAGGAGATGACGATGCCTTTATTTTGATGCTTTATTAAATTTATTTAGGACAGTAGCCTAAACAGACTCTGAAGTGAGACAACAGACCTTGTTTTTCAAATTAGGACTATAAATCTTTCAAACCCTTCTAAAGATTTCTCAAAAGCTGTTCGTCCCACTTTTAAGTAAATTAACGTTCTTATTTAAATTTGGTTGGAAAGACGTTTCTGACCTCCCATTTGTGGTATCATAATTAGAGATGTCGAAGCATGCAATCAAACATTTGTTCTTCAATTTCCCTATATGAATTGTATACGGTATATTTGAAATCAATTAAAGGCATTCGGTCGTCGTGCTTTTCATTCTTTCACAAGAGAGCCTCATATGCCTCGAACAGTTTGAAAGCATACAGTAACTGTCGTTTATAGAGCTGTGCCTCCTTAGAGGTACGAGATACGAGAAGGGACGATTATGAAGGTTTGATTAGAAGTGAAATTTATGGAGATAACGAACAGTATTCAAGCTAAAAATTCTATTAAACAATACATATTTTGGAACAGAGCAAACCCGCACCTCTTAAGCATCAGCGGTGGGATCAGGTACCATGGAGGAATAAGCACCCCCTGCTGACCGGTGCTCCTTGTCAGTATCAGGAATTAATGGGAAAATCCGTCGACAATTCAGTCTGTATACAATAGGAAAACGTCGGTCAGCGTTTGACGTAAAGGTGAATTGTATTTGTTGACAAGGTCATTGTATCGACCACAGAACTTACGAAATTATGAGTTTAAACGAGACTACTGATATTCTTGTTTCAGCAACTTGTTTGTCAGCAATTTATACCTCGTTTTAGATATTGTTCTTAAAGCATGCTGTCGCTTATCAAATCAACTGAGATATATAAAACTCTTATGCAGGAGATGAAGGTACATGTATATTGCTACATAATTAAGGGAAGTTGGCAATTGAAAAGTTGAAGTCATCAGTTTATCATAGAGCTTGGCTGTTGGATTACCAATAACGTCTTTTTCATGTAAAATATCCAAATATGAAACACATGTGTCAGAATCTTTTATTTCAAGCTCACCGGAATATATCATATTGACATAAGAATGGAAATAACCATTGTTAATGTTTATAAAGAGCTTTTATTTCTTAACAAAAATCATTGTTTTGTTTTACAATAAGGGTGCAACAGCTCCACTGATAAGCGATGACGAGACTCCTTGTCCCATAATTACATCATCAACAAGTGCAATACAAGAGACAACTCAACAACCAAAGACAGACACTAAAATGATAACAACAGCATTAAAAATTACGAGTTCAGCAGTTATAAAAACATCCCAGACAACAAAAGCATCCACGTCACAATTAATCACTGATGCGCCAAAAATACCATCTACAAATGCAGCGACCACAACCTCAAAAACACCGTCTACGACCACGACCACAAAACTCCCATCTACAACCCCATCATCTATTACGTCACAGCCAACTACAACTACATCAACTACTACGTCACAAACTACAACTATTCTGTCATCTATTTCCACACAGCCCAAATCCACAACGAGGCAAACAACATTGCAAACTCAGTCACCAACTACGACCGCCATACCTTCGACTGATCCGGTGCTTTGTGATGACAACTTTTGCAGTTCATTGGCATATGAAATGCTGGGAAGAATGAATACATCCGTGGATCCTTGTTCTGATTTCGTCAGCTACTCTTGTGGGGCGTGGATTTCAAGCAGGAAAGTTTTGCTAGACATGAATGTCTTTGATGCCGATAGGAATTCCGTGATGAGCGACGTGAAATTGAATTTAAAACAAAGATTGATAGGTAGCTACATTTCATCAAGAACATTAATTCTAAGTTTTTAGAAACAAGCTAATTGAAATAACATGGAATATCTATAAAGCAAATTGCAAATTGTTTTTTTAATATAATTTGTTGAAGATTTGTTATTTTAACTACGTTGTCTATAAAACTAGTATGATCTTTTTTATCATTAAATAAAATGTTTGACATCATCTTTTTGTCCACTTAATAGTAAAGTTACTGTTAGCTATGGTTTTTTCTAGAAATGCTTGAACAAGATGTGACTTCTGGTGACTCGGACTACATGATTGCCGCTAAACTTCACTTCCAGAGTTGCCTAGATTCAAATAACCGGCCTGATAGTAGTCTTGGTATGTTTTGATTTAAAGAAAATTTATCACAATGAAATTAAAATATATTAATGACACATCCTCAAAAACAATTTGTTATTCTGAACCTGTTGTTAATTAGGTCTTTCCACCTTTCTGTGGAAAGACCTATTGAAATGCTTATGTTTTTTATTCTTTTTCTGCCGGACTTTTGAAACCGCAAGACTTATCGGAAAACCTTATAGTTCATGATATTGGATATTTAAAGTTATTCCGAAAAACGACCCAAGAAGTTTGAACTTTGACCCCTTTCGAAGTTATCGCCCTTTACGCAAGAAATGCTTGTTATCGCTACTCCTCCGAAACCGTAAACCGTATAGGTATGAAACTATGAAACCTTCACCAATGTCTTTGACTACTTGAGAGGATCTTTCAATCTATTCATTGCGAAAGGATCCATAGACCCCTTATATGAGTTATTGCCCCTGAAAGTTTTTGAATTTTACAAATAATTAAAAAAATTCAAAACGAGAAGTCGTAAAGACATGGGACCAACTGCATATGATTCATTGACCTTTGACCTTAAAATTTATTTAAAGGTCAAAGGTCAAGGTCATTCCAAAAATGAGAAATTAAGCTATTATAATCTCTTTCAACTTATATTATCTGTCTGTGCATCATTAAAATGCACTTTTAAAACTATTTCAAAGATTTCATTCTTGTCCCCTAAGATTAACCCTTTTAAAAGTTATATCCCCTTGTGTGAAAAACCTTGTTATCGCTACTCCTCCGAAACTGTAGACCGTAGAGACACCAAACCTTTACCTTTTGTCTTAAGGGACTTCAGGCCTAACTTCACTGTATAAGTGCAAAAGGATCTGATGACCCTTATGTGAGTTATTGCCTTTTAACTTCTTTGTACTTACTATTAGACCTTATAACTTGAAAATTATAAGTCATAGAAGCATGGGGTCAATTGCATTGTGACCCTTGATCTTTGACCTTGAATATTTTTTTAAGGTCAAAGGTCAAGGTCATTCCAAAATTTTTTTTAATTACATTTTTTCTATGCTTTAAGACAATTCTGGTTTCTTTTTCATGGAAATTAATTTTAAGGAGTCAGGTATAAAAATGTGAAATTCAAAGAAGGTGGAAAGACCTCTTATTGTTCTATGAACAATAAGTCTCCTAGTTTTCTTTGATATTATGAACTTTTATACTGATTATTTTGTATATTTCCTCATTAAGTAACAAAGGATGTGGAAAGTTTACTGGAATCTCTTGGTGTAGGAAGTTCTATGACGTCATTTATGACGCCATCAGTGATGCAGTACTCACTTTTCTCGGATTATGGTGCATTTGGCTTTTTTACTTATGATGTAGAAAGAAAAATTGTTGGAAATGTCAAACGAACCATTCTCCAGGTTTGTGTGTTTCTTTATTGAATCAAAATCAGCATTTCACTGTAGATGCTAGGTTCATACACTTTAAAGTTTAAATATATGGAAATCAATGACTGGATATGAAGGAAATGGTCTCATATTAATTTCTTTTCAATAATAAAAAAAAAAATTAAATATTTTTTATTTTTGTTTGAAAGTTCACTTTTTGTACCATAAACATCAGTCTGCTTTCACTTTTTGAAACTGCAACATTTTGGCATGTAGGAATGCATAATACAATATGAAAATGAACAGTAGAAAAGATAATCGTTTTCTAAAGTGAATGACCAGTAATAGTGTTCAATATTAATGATTGATGTTTACTGCTCTAGCTCTCTCCACCAGACCTGTACCTCAGACAGAGTGTATATCTTCTACCTTATCAAGACAACGAGGTATGTTACTTTGCTAGATCTTAAAACACGATTGAATGTAATATTACTTATTTTCAAGTCAATTTTAGTAAAGAATTAAGAAAGAAATTGAAAGCTTTATTGATCTTATAAAAATATTTGTTTCGTGGTAAATACCAGGTATTACGAAGAGGACCTTTGTTCTTTTTTATTGCTGTTTGTGTAAATCTCCTTCATTTTATTGTGTTTTTTACACATTGAAGTTTATTTGTATGTGTACTTCAGATCATTTCGCCTGATATATTCCATTTATTACCACGGGTTTTGTCTAGAAATTTTTTAGACAATAGGGAATATTTACATTTGTTGATGTCTTTCCTTATATAACAATGCAAATTAAATTGAAATTCAATTTTCAATGACATGCAGTTGGTCACATGATCAGACTTTCTTGCGTATGGAAAGCAAACTGCACGAGCAATTTGGAAAGTTCTGACTATGACGTCACATGACGTCGTATAAACGTTACGCTGTATTTCAAAATCAAAGTCTAAATAATACCTAATATATTTCTTTGTAACAGGAATGGAAACTTAAAATATAAATATAAGAAATAAAATATCATTATTTAGAGTTTCATTGTGTTATGACATGAAGTCGGTACCTGATCAAATCTACTATAACGCCCTTCGGGCATATTAATATAAATATATATAATTATTGGTACGACATCAAATTTTACACAAAGCCCAAGGTTCAATAATTTAAGCTGTGATAATTCTTTACTCGTTTTGGATCCTCAAAAATTCTTAAGAACTTTTGGACAGTTTGAAATCACAAGAAATTACCAAAATCAACAGCTTAAAAACTTAAGAATTTTCAACTTTATACACAACCATTCCCCATGATAAATTAAAGTCTAGGCATTTTGATATCACTGACAGCTTTTTTTCAATAAAAATGGAACTCATAAATTTACTTACCTGGTCATTTGCAAAATTATTTTGTTAAAACATATTCTGATTGCACACACAAGTACACTGAAGTTGACATAAACAGATGCTTGAGTTTCTGATTGACAATATCTTTATGGTTTTTGGAGACCAGGTCTTCCAACAATATATTGGAATCCCCATGGGTACCAATTGCGCTCGGTTATTAGCAGACCTATTTTTGTATTCATATGAAGCAGAATTTGTGCAAAGCAGACCTATTTTTGTATTCATATGAAGCAGAATTTGTGCAAAATCTTATGCGTGAAAATAGAAAAAACTTGCTGTGGCCTTCAACTTGACATTTAGATATATCGACGACATATTGTCAATTTACAATGGTAATTTCTAATCCTATATGGATACGATATATCCTGGTGAGCTTGAGATAAAATATATCACAGAGTCTGACATATCAGTTTCATACTCGAAAAAGACGTTAATGGTAATCAAACAACCAAGCTCCATGATAAACTTGTTGACTTTAACTTTTCTATCGTTAACTTCCCTAACTTATGCAGCAATATACCTTCATCACCTGCATACAGAGTGTATATATCTCAGTTGATTTGATACGCAAGAGCATGTTTTACGTATGAACAATTTCTAAAACGAGGTAAATTATTGACAAACAAGTTGATGAAACAAGAATACCAGCAGCCTGGTTTAAAGTCGTCAATTCGTAAGTTCTATTGTCGATACAAAGACCTCGTTAGCAAATACAGTTTATCTTTGAGTCAAATGCTGACTGACGTTTTTCATACTATTTGTTTGTCCATTATTTACACACCGAATTGGCGACGGATTTTTCCGTTATTTCCTGGTCATGACAAGAGAACGCGGCGGATGTGGACGGTAGACAGGGGATGCTCACTCCTCCATGGCACCTGATCACACCTCTGATGTTTTGGAGGTCCGTGTTTGCTCGCTCCTAATTTGTATTGTTTTATGGACTTTGAAATTGAATACTGTTCTTTATCTCCATATCCTTCCTACAAAGAATATTTTACTCTGTCATCATTTTATTTATATATAGATAAAGAAAATGATATAATTAATGATTTCCACACATCTTTAAGAATCTTGTACATGATAAACAAATGTTGTATATGATGACGATGAAGCTATCTTAAATACCAAAACAAAAACAAGTCAAAAGAAAAAAGAAATCAAAGGATACTTCCTCAAAAAAGTTTCATTCAAATTCGTTGATGCGATTCATTTAAGCGATACCGATATTGTTTCGTTGTGAATCGTGTCATTTGCTACTAATATGCTGTAAAAGTTCTTTCAATCAAGCAATACCTACGTTGTTTTGTTGTGAATCATTTCATTGGGACTCTATTCTGTAAAAGGTCTTTCCGTCATACATTACCTACTTTTTTTCGTTGTGGATCCTTTCACTAGGACTCTATTCTGTAAAAGGTCTTTCCGTCATACGTTACCTACCTTTTTTCTTTGTGGATCTTTTCAATGGGACTCTATTCTGTGGATCATTTCAATGGGACTCTATTCTGCAAAAGGTCTTTCCTTCATACATTACCTGCCTTGTTTCGTTGTGGATCATTTCATTGGGACTCCATCCTGTAAAAGGTCTTTCCTTCATACGATAGCTGTCTTTTGTCGTTGTGGATCATTTTAATTGGGACTCTATTCTGCAAAAGGTCATTCCTTCATACAATTTTCATTGTGATTCTGTTTTGCAGGATCTTGCAAACCTTTTCCTTGCTGTTAATCATTTGTAGACTGATGATTCGTGTGGATTTGAATTCAATTGCAGTTCATCATTCCGCCGATTTCATTTTTCTCTGTGCTTCATTCTTGCAGACATGTTTTCAATGATCTGGTCCTTTTTCCAGCAAGTTCAGAGTTATGCCAAAATCTCGCCTTGTACTTTTAAGCTTTTATTTGCAACTTAAATGATAACACCTTGATTAGAAAATGTTTAATAATTACGTATAAATAGAATATATATAGGATATCTCACGTACCTCCTTCAGATAGCCAGGCGTTACTTAGACAGAGTTGTTCCTCTAATACAGCGCTTGAACAGCTTTCTCAGACCAACTTTTTCTTATGGTAAGTTATCTTTTTATTTCCATAACATGTCTCTGGAGTGGATGCTTTAAAATATTGTTTTTACTCATATTCAATTTGTTCTTTGGTCAATTAAAACAACACATTTTGATCAATCTTTAAGAAAACGCTCAATGCACAAAATATTGATTATGGGACAAGACTCAGTATATGTGCCTGTATTTGTGTCAAGGAGATGTAAATTACAACTTTAAGATATTTTGTATTAGGTCAAATTGATGGGCTTTTACGGGAAAAAGTTCAAGAAGTGTTTGAATTCGAAAGGCAACTCTCACAGGTAGTATATTTAATGTACCATTATTTTAATTTAGTGACTATACCTCTCATTCACTCACAAAAATTTTAATTCTGATACAGCACGTTGAAAAAGTGCATATACATATACATGTACATTCAATATCAATGCCTGTAAATAAAAAAACTGCACTGGCGTATTTCTTACTATATCACCGTTTACAGGCTATCCGTGTTGCCAGATCTTCCAATGAGGAGAGCGCATTGTTTCCTGTCAGCGCCCTCATTCAGAACTTCCCAAACATCAACTGGACGGAAGCCTTACCAAGTCAACAATTCTCAACGAACACTCCCGTACAGCTCGATCACCCGAGCTACTTTACGTCCCTGAACGAAATGCTGGGCAGGACTGATAAATCTACTCTTGTCATGTATCTGTACATCCGGGTTATTCTTACGGGCATCATTCCATTTGCTCCAAAAGCCACCCGCCAGTTTATGGACAATTTATATGACACAGAGACCGCACAAGAATACACGAAGACATACTGCATAGATAGTACTCTGGAACTACTTCCAGAGGAGGTGCTGATCGAGTATGCAGAAACACAAGATACAAAACCTGTAATTGAGTACATTTCCTCCCTGGTGAGGAATCTGACAGACCAAAGCGTCAAATCCTTCTCTTCCTATGGGGGATACAGTGAAGAAACTAAATTAAAGATAACTGGAACTTTGTCCTCTATGACTCTGAGTAAAGCACCGATTCCTGTCATACCTTGGACCGTCCTCCTCTCCACAAACAAGGATGTGTTCCACTTGTTCCGAGCTAATTATGCCCATCAGGCGCACTCCTACCGATTGATGAACCGGATAGGAGAGGTGTACACAGTACCTGATATACCTTGGTACAGTGTTGATATTGTATATGACAAGGACATCAGTACACTGGGTAAATTAATTTCCATTTTTTCATTGATTCAAACATCTACAAAGTAACTAAATATTAAATTTTTTAAAAAGTTAAATCCTAGAATGAATCGGGGAAAATATATATATATATATAAGCTAAATTATGGTTTTCAAAAAAAGGCTTAAATTTGAAACTAAGAAATTAGCGTGTTGATGTTTTTTTCTTGGTTTGTCAAATAGCTTTGATAACATATTCTTTAGAAAGTAATTATTCTTCATGTAAACAGAAACCAAATTATCAATAATGTCTCTTAGAAAAAACTATTTATTAACTGAGTATCTTGATGCTTGATTTATAGGTATCCCTTACGGAATTCTAACGTGGAAAACAAACCTGAAACCAGAATTTCCGTTTTTGACGACCGTTGGTTTAATGATTTCGGAAAAAATAACAGAAGTAATATATGGTAAGGACAATGCCCCTTTTTATTCCAAGGTTAAAGATCAACAGTCTATAAACCTCATAAATCAAACAATGTACATGTAATTTTCTATGATCTTAAATTTGCAGACAAAAACGAGAATGAGAAGCAAAGAAATATCTTCAGTAGATTTTAATGACATACCTTTAATCAGGAAAACTCAAGATAAAAATGATCTTCCAAAAGGAAATTCGTAATAAAATACTTGTATGTTATAGAAAAGTCCTTTATGCACAGGAGTTTCAGTAAATTAAAAAAATACGTAATACCTATAATAATAACATGGGTATTACGTATTTTTTAAAATTGTTAGGTATGCGAACTCCTGTGCTTGATGCTATATGAATCATTGTTTATAGCAAGAAAGACCTGATTTTGGCATGGCCCGCGGAAAATCAATTCAAGATTGACATTAGAATGACGTTAAAACTTGATCGTGGCCAAACTCTAGATATGTTTAGACTCGTATTGCTTTTTTACTGTTCTCATGATAATAAGATAAATTTTATGGCGATATAATTTTCAGGTACACAATCTCCTTATTCATAATAACTAAAAGTAAACTTAAAGTAAAACATTTGTAACAGATGATTTAGTACGTTAATTGTGTTTGAAGGTGCGCTGGATGTTCGCTCCTCTAACAGTGACTGGAGTGATGCCTCCTTCAAACATTATCAAGAGAAACACGACTGCTTCATGAATCAGCTGTTTGAAAAGAGAACTGTAAGTCATATTTTATCTAATTCATGACAAATCTGCATGTTTATTAGAATATGAGGGTCAAAAATATCGTCACTACTGCTAAAGAATCTTTGATAATCGAAAGTTTGCATCATAACTTATTATACTAATATCTATATCTCTATCGCAACATTCCAAGAATGGAGCTACATCTTCATTCCTTTCTCTTTGACATTCATTTCGAATCTTATATGATTTTTAATCTGAAACTTATTTTGGGTCTCCCAGAGCAAAACATGGACTTGCCATTATAATCATACGGAGGACATGGGGTATCATTTAGTGAGCTCATTGCTCTCAGTGCCTCTAGTTTTAAGCCAACAATTTGTAAATTGTATGGCCGATATAATGACTTTATCAGCAAATACACTCCATCATAATTCTAGCGTTGACTGAAGAATTTCATACTTTTTTTGGCCTTTACTTATACACTGAACTGATTACGAATTTTTCGTTAGCATGATCATGACAAGTAGCTCATGATCTGTCCCCTATAGCACCTGATCCCATTCAGATATTTTAGAGATCTGTGTTTCCTCTGCCACCGATATCTATTGTTCCACTGGATATCCGAGTCTGATTACTATTCGATATCTTTACAATTCATTCAAATGTTTTATTCTTTTTAAAGGATATCGGAATAGACAAAACAAAGCAGATAATGTCAGGACATGCAGGGTTGTATATATTGATACAGGTACGTCACTAAAATGATACAGAAAACTCACAGATCAAACCCCAAAACGTTAATTGATCATGACCTATGACATTAATTTTAATCAATGAAGTAAAACATGATTATTATTGTTACAGTAGTTCCAATTTTATTTCTATATACAAAAAAAATAAAGAAAGATGTAAAACAAATGTCAAAAGTATTTTGACAAGATTAATTTTTGTTCACTTTATTTTAGGAACACAAAAGGTTGCTTATAAATAACTTGATACAGACATACCAGTTCCCATTCTTAGCTCTTCAATCAGATCAGCTGTTTTACCTGTCCATTACACAGGTAAGCTCATCATTCAAAGTACTTTAAACATACAAGTATTGTGATTCTTTTGAAAAGCAATGAGACTTTATGCATTATAGTTTTTGTGTCCATTCTTCATTTTCTTTTATTCTGATTATTTAAATATCTCACCATTACAGGAAATGTGCAAAGTGGACAATACGGGGGATGTGTTATCTAATAAATTAAGGTAGGATAATTAGCAACAAAAAATCTATAGGAACTCTGATTGCCATTTTTTAAATTGATCTTTAATGCATACTAGTATACAGGAACAGATGTATATTATCTAGACTAGACTTAAATATGCTAAAGCTATTGCCTCATTATAATAATACAATTCTATAAACACATATTAAATACAATATGGTTCCAGTTAAGATAGATTATTATAAGAATTACACCTATAGTAAAGAATTTTCCAACCTTTTCTTTCAGAGTAAACACAGTTCTGATGAACGACAAATCGTTTATAGATGCATTTACTTGCCCTCTTGGCTCAAAAATGAATCCCCTTTATAAATGTCATCTTTTCCAAAAAACGAATTACACAACTCCACCAACCACTGCTGCACTTCCGACAACTCCCACAACAACATTAAAAACGACAACAACGACCACTCAAAGACCAACGACAACAACGACCACTCAAAGACCAACGACAACAACAACCACTCAAAGACCAACGACAACAACGACCACTCAAAGGCCAACGACAACAACGACCACTCAAAGACCAACGACAACAACGACCACTCAAAGGCCAACGACAACAATGACCACTCAAAGACCAACGACAACAACGACCACTCAAAGGCCAACGACAACAACGACCACTCAAAGACCAACGACAACAACGACCACTCAAAGACCAACGACAATAACGACCACTCAAAGGCCAACGACAACAACGACCACTCAAAGACCAACGACAACAACGACCACTCAAAGGCCAACGACAATAACGACCACTCAAAGGCCAACGACCACTCAAAGGCCAACGACCACTCAAAGGCCAACAACGACCACTCAAAGGCAAACTACTTTATCAACAACTACATCTACTCAGACAAATCCCACAATGACATCTTCTCCACCAACAACAGACATTGAAACAATAACCATTGTCGTTCCCTCAACCTCTCCATCTGTAACAGAACCACAGACTTGTCAGTCCGGGTTCTGTTACTCGTTAGCTTTCCTGCTTTCCTCCCGAATGGACGAATTTGTAGATCCTTGTGATGATTTTTATCGGTATGCATGTGGTGGATGGGTATATGGAAGAGAAGCATTAGTTTCCCTTAATCTGTATAACGAGTCCCGAGATTCTGTAATAGAAGATGTACGTTATAATTTCAGAGAGGGGTTAAAAGGTACTTTTTATTTTTTTGTTTAAAAAGATTTAAGCAATTTAGTATTCTCGTTTTGTTTTTGATGTCTGTATTTCTGAATTTCTCTCCTACTGATGGCATTTGTTAGGAAATGATCATAACCAACGTTTAATTATTATTTTTACATATTTTCTTAGCAATGATAGAATCCAATGTTACCTCTGAAGACAGTGAATATTTACAGGCGCTCAAGCTCCATTACCAAAGCTGTCTCTTGTCCAACGATCCTCAACAGGTGCAGAGAGGTAAGTCTGTCTAGGGAGCTTTGGAACATGAAATCTACCACAAAATGAAGATATATCTGTTTCAAATGCTTTAATAGTTTTTATTTTCTTCAAAACATATTCATGTAATTCGATTTTTAGCTCACCTGAGCCGAAGCTTTTCTGATCACATTTTGTCCGTCGTCCGTCCGTCCGGCCGTCCGTCTGTCTGTCTGTCCGTCTGTAAACTTTTCACATTTTCGACTTCTTCTCAAGAACCACTGGGCCAATTTTGACCAAACTTGGTACAAAGCATCCTTGGGTATAGGGGAATTTAAATTGTTAAAATAAAGGGCCAAGTCCCCTCACAAGGGGAGATAATCAAGAAAAGACAAAAATAGGGTGGGGTATTAAAAAATCTTCTTCTCAAGAACCACTCGGTCAGAAAAGCTGAAACTTATGTGGAAGCATCCTAAGGTAGTGTAGATTCTAAATTGTTCAAATCATGACCCCCCAGGATGGGCGGGGCCACAATGGGGAATCAAAGTTTTACATAGAAATATATAGGAAAAATCTTTGAAAATCTTCTTCTTAAGAACCACTGGGCCAGAAAAGCTGAAACTTATGTGGAAGCATCCTGATATTGTGTAGATTCTAAATTGTTCAAATCATGACCCCCGGGGAAGGGCGGGGCCACAATGGGGAATCAAAGTTTTACATAGAAATATAGAGGAAAAATCTTTGAAAATCTTCTTCTTAAGAACCACTGGGCCGGAAAAACTGAAATTTATGTGGAAGCATCCTGGGGTAGTGTAGATTCTAAATTGTTCAAATCATGACACCCGGGGGAAGGGCGGGGCCACAATTGGGAATCAAAGTTTTACATAGAAAAATATAGGAAAAATCTTTGAAAATCTTTTTCTCAAGAACCACTTGGCCAGAAAAGCTGGAATTTAAGTGGAAGCATGTTGGGGTAGTGTAGATCCTAAATTGTTCAAATCATGACCCCCGGGGGAAGGGCGGGGCCACAATGGGGAATCAAAATTTTACATAGAAATATATAGGAAAAATCTTTGAAAATCTTCTACTCAAGAACCACTGGGCCAGAAAAGCTGAAACTTATGTGGAAGCATCCTGGGGTAGTGTAGATTCTAAATTGTTCAAATCATGACCCACGGGGAAGGGCGGGGCAACAATGGGGAATCAAAGTTTTACATAGAAAAATATAGGAAAAATCTGTGAAAAATCTTCTTCTCTAGAACCACTGGGCCAGAAAGCTGAAACTTATGTGCACATGGAAGCATCCTGGGGTAGTGTAGATTTCAAAATGTCTAAATTATGATCAGTGGGGTAGGGTGGGGATGCATTATGTATTACAAGGGGAAATCTGGTAAAGAACAGAATGGTCAAAGCTTCTCAGGTGAGCGATGTGGCCCATGGGCCTCTTGTTTAAATCTTTTGACGTCTGAGTTGTGCTTATCTCTTTAACTATATGTGATCCCGATTACTTTTTTCCTAGTGACAAGTGATATGCAACTTATCTTGGAAATCATAGGAATAGGAAGTGACCTACAATCCTTCATGGGAATAGGCACCATGCACCTCATTGTCGGCACAGATATGGGAGGGTCAGGGATTTTTGATTACAGATTAATCAAAGCTGAAGTAGACAATAAAACTACAAAAATATTACAAGTGAGATAACTTTCCATTTAACGTAGTTTTGTAGTTTCTTGCGTATTCATCAAATATAAAAGACGTCAAACTGACCCGTTCTTCTTGCAATACTAGTAAATCTGAAAATCTTTTAGTGACAAATAAATAAAGTCACTCTTGCAGTTTTGTATCTATAGTTTATTAAATCTAGAAATCAATCAACAAAAACAAATCAAACATCCATAAATTCAAAATATGGAGTATTTTGTCTTAGTCTTTTCAATCTTCCTGAGGTGTTTAAACACATATTTAATTCAGAACTTACAATATTCATTTAAATCAATATTTCAGCTTTCTCCATCGAACCTATATCTGAGAGATGATGCCTACTTATTGCCATATGAAAACAATCCGGTGAGTTCTCGAAGATCTGTATACTTTAGAAACTTTTAGACTTTTAAGTAGCATGAATTGTCGTTAAACTCCATTTTAAGAAAGTGAATTTAAAAAAAAAAAATTAAAACTAAATGTTCACAATGAAAAAACCTTGAACAGTTTTTTTTTATTTTGAGAAGAAAGGAGTTTCAAAGTTTGTTTATTGATAAATTCTTCAACGGTTTTTACTTCAGTTTTCACCTATCATCTATTTTAAAAACAAAAACATTCTCTAATTAAGCATTTAATAATTGTATACCTATTCTTTTTTTCAGATAGCCCAAAAATACCTGGAGAGAATAGTTCCCGTTTTGCAAAAAGTCAATATTAACTTACGACCGCAAACAGCAGGTATAACCCACGTAACATGCAATTCGTGAGCTTATATCTGCATTATTTTCCAGATGTGTTTTGGAGATGTGAAATTTATAATTTTGGAGCAAATGAAAATTAGACATCCTGTAGATATATGGAGGCCCTGTCATATGTACAATGTTACTCAAAAGCTAAATTAAAAAAATAATAAATGCAAAATTAAATTCATATCACTCTTGAATAATTTTTCTTTTTCTCATAGGAGAAAACATTACGGATATTCTCATCGAAAAGATGAAGGAAGTCTTCGCTTTTGAGCAAGAATTGGCAAAGGTTTGTGTGTAGAATTTTAGAACTATATGTATATGTTTGTGATGTACAAAATATATAAAGATGTGAAAAAAATATCTATCAAACCAATCAAATCTTTTGAAAAAAAAAATTATACCGCACACTTTATATTCCTGGCATAGATGTTTTTTTTTTCATTCTGATTAAAATCAAATTCAAAGGTTTTTTTTTTTACTAATCTAATAATATTTTTGTCAAGTTTTCAAATTGTTGAGATCATGATGTTATTGAACAAGGAAAATGGGTTTGTATTCAGCAACAAAATTACCATTAAATACCTTCACTTTTCTAGGCTATCCAATCCACTGGATTCGAATCTAACATGGACATCAGAGTCGAGGAACTGGAACAGAGATATCCAAACATTGAATGGGTATACATGATGCCTTATCAACAATCCTTTTCGGACACGCCCATCAGAATTGTTAACCCCTTCTTTTTCCAGATTCTTGACCAATTATTTAACCAGACTAATGATGACATCATTGTGCTGTATATTTACACGAGGGCGGTGCTGACTGGTCTTCTGCCCTACACCCCACTAGCTATACGAAAAAGCATGGATGGCATTTATGGAAATGACACCAGTGTTCCATTCTCCGCTGGTCATTGTTTAGATTCAACGCTTTCCTTACTCAATGAAGAATTTCATGAAGAATACAGGAAGAAACACAAAGATGATATAACGACCAAAACGTCATATTTTACGAAGTTTTCTAACCAATTAAAACAAACATTGAGGAATTATCTTACTGGACCTAACGAATTTAGTAATTCCACAGCTGAGAGAATCCTGTCGTCAATGGGATCACTAGACGTCCAGTTCCCATCAGCACCATCAATTCCCTGGACAGTTACATTGTCAAACACACTCGATGTATCGTTCTTGAATCGTGCTAACACCGCCCTTCAGTTGAAAACTTACAGGGAACTTGACACTCTGGGGTTTCCTGTGACGACGGCTGAATTTGCATGGGATGGAACGTTTATAACTTTTGACTCCAGTCTGAATGTGATCGGTAAGACTATAACTGCTCATCTAAGTTTACTGGTCTAGTGTATCTTTGGTCCTGTTTGGATGCTAAAATTATATTTTGCTTAATATGTCTTTCTAGGTATACCTTACCCGATTCAGAACTTTCATTATTCGGTTGATCCACAATTTCCTGCAATTACCACAACTGGTTGGCATTTAGCAAAGGAGTTAACACGTGTTGTATTAGGTATGTTTATGTTTCTTTAACCATATATGAACATGATAATGTTCTTAAATAAAACAATGGATCTTCACTTTGTCTTATGGTTAAATGTCTTCAACTTTTATTCAATAACAGGTGACTTTTCGTTCTCGCCTTTGGATTGGAGTTTTGAGTCCCTGGTAAAATTTTCAGAAGAAAGAGAATGTTACAACTCACAGGCCTCAGATGTGAATGGGGTATATATTCACAGTGTCTAAATACTCTAAATAATGTCTTTCTGAAACTGTAATTGTATCATGTTAAATGTGGTTTTGGTTCAAAACGAATTATGATTAACAATTATGTTAATTATATAATATCGCACATGGATGATAAAATACGCAGTTTACGTTGCTTTAACATTTAATTCAGAACATAAATGAATAAATTACTTATAATAAGGTATTCAACGACATAAAAACTGGTGACGTCATGACAGGTGGAGTGGCCTTAGATCTTATTACCAAGGTAATTATAGTTTGTGTCTAATTTCTAGCGAAGTACGAGTATTCTATTTAAGATATTAAGTTCTTGACATGAACACTTACACTAATCCCCTTAATTTAGTGTGTCTTGAAGTTGAGTAGATACACTGTAAGCAAGAGAATGTTTACGTACAAAAATTTCGGAAACACAACAAGCTATTGACAAAAGAAGTCTCGTTTAAAGACATGATTTCGCAAGTTTTACGGTTGATACAAGTAAAATATACATGTATCTTAAAAAATAAAATACTTTCTTTGGTTTATGCGGGTTATGTAATTTTTTTTCTGCAATAGCTGCGACGTTAATTCCCGTACCAACAAACAAACAAAGTATTTCATTGTAATGTTTATATTTACATCAGAATTCAAAGTAAAATTAGATTTGTTTAAATATATGTTAAAATATTATAATTAAGATGAATATATAATTGTATTGATAACTGATGGAACAGCCATTGTTCAAGAAATCTACGCACGTGGCTTGCTTAGTGTTGTTCATGCACTGATTAATGGCAATGGCCTTTAAAAGAATATATTAGTTGAATGCTGACTTACGTTTTTAATTCAATTTGTTATACTTTTTTACACAATGTTTTTTTTTTCGAGAATGTCTTCTTCGTTTGCTCTGTCGTGACAATATGCAATCGCTGGTTGTGACCACCGGTCGACAGGGCATGCTTAAATGAGCTGCTTAAAATCTCTTTGTATTCTCTGTATCTCTATACTTCCTGACTTTCTTTTAAGATTTACGTGACTGGCTTTTTCTTTGCTGTAATATTTGCAGAGCAAATCAAATGTATGATTTCAGAAGTATTCCAACGGTATTACATTTGTCTTTCTCTCTTAGGTGTACACAGATCACGTGACTAGTGGTAACATACAGGAAGTTATTCTCCCAGATCCTTCAAATTTCATCACACCAAAGCAACTTTTCTATCTAACATTTGCTCAAGTAATTTTAATATTGTTGGCATAGAATTATAGCCTTTATGTAATGATAATATTCAGATTATTTAACACTTAAAAACAACTATATATAGTAAATAAATACTTGCATTTAAGCAATCATCATCTAATGATAAAAAATAAATATATAACTATTTATAATTAATATAATTGTATTGTTAGCAAGGAGTCTTATAGAAATTAATGATATCAAATACATAATTATATTTTCTTAATTTATCTGAGCTGTACAAAATACAGTTCCAAAGTAATTTCAGCTCTCATCAGTTTATGGAATAAAATTATGCCTGTGTTTTCTTTTTAGCAAACATGTGAAGTGGATAAAAAATCTGGAATAGTTTCAAGTCAATACAGGTAAATATTGAGTCAGTGCAAGTAAACATTTGGGATATAGTATCAAGTTGATACATGTACTGTTAAAAACGAAGACAGTATCAAATCAATAATATCAAGTCGACATAGGTAAAAATCGCAGATACGTTAAAGTCAATACAAGTAAAAAACTGGAATCGTATGAATTCAATGCAGGTCCCTGTCTCTGGGTTATTTCTATTTTGAATGGATTATTTCTGTTTTAAATCTTTGAATTGAATGTCAATTTATATTACTGACTTTATAAGTAAACAAAAGAAAAGAACAGGATTATTTTCTTTTTAGGGTGAATAATATTTTGAGAAATTCAGAGGAGTTTCAGCAGGCTTTCACATGTTCACAAGGTTCCCGACTGAACGCAGATCGAAAGTGTCAGCTTCTATCAGGCATAGGAACAAGCTAATAATACACAGTCATAATAATGGAAATATAATGACACCGAGGAGAAGACGACCTGTTGGAAAGCAGGCAATTTGAAGGTTTAAGTAACAAAATTGAGAATATTGAAAAAAAAGCATAAAACCTTTCAGTAAAACAGGAATGCAGGAACGTCAGAAACCAAGACGATTACTTTTTAAAATACAAGAGCATTAATTTGATCATCCATGCGTCGAAACAGTACGTAGGAAAACTGCACCATTCCAACACCACCTTAAGACAAGTATATATTTTTGGATGTTGAACAGTCAGGTTCCGGATTGTGCTGAATGATGGACATAATTAAAGATAGTGTGATGAAAAAAGACATATAAAGAAAAGAAAAATTGAATCCATTCAGTTGTACATTCTACCTCAAAAAAAAAATGTTCAGGCAGCGTCCATGATATGAAATTCGCGCCAGTACAATTTTGTACTTGTTTATTTAACTCGACTGTTTTGTGATATTTTTTATATAGATTATGGATTTGTTTTGTGTGTGTGTTTATATGAATGTTGAACAACGTCCATGTAGTTGCAATGAAGGATATGGAGATAACGAACAGTATTCAATATCAAAGCCCATAAAACTATACAAAATAGGAGCAGAGCTATAACGGGCCTCCAAAACATCAGAGGTGGGATCAGGCGCCATGGAGGAGTGAGCATCTCCTGCCGACCGGTCACACCCGTCATGTGCTCCTTGTCATGTTCGTGAAATAACGGAAAAATTCGTCGCCAAATCAGTGTATAAATAATGGACTAATAATCAGTATGAAAAACGTCAGTCATTGATAAATTGTATTTGCTGACGAGGTCATTGTATCGACCATAGAACGTACTACATGATGACTCCTCATATTTTTGTATCATAAATTTGTTTGTCAATAATTTACCTCGCTTTAGAAATTGTTCATACGTAGAGTATGCTCTTGCTTATCGAATCAACTGAGATTTATAAACTCCGTATGCAGGTGATGAAGGTATATTGCTGCATAAGTAAGGGAAGTTGACGATGGAAAAGTTTAAGTCATCACGTTTATCATATAGTTTGGTTGTAAGATTACCATTAACATCTTTTTCAAGTAAAATATCCAAGTACACAAATGATGTGTCAGATTCTGTGGTATCTTTTATCTCAAGTTCTCCAGGATATATCGTATCGACACAGAAATGGAAATTACCATCGTTAATTGACAATACGTCGTCGATATATCTAAATGTCGAGTTGAAGGCTTCAGCAAGTGGTTTCTTTTTTCACGCATAAGATTTTGCACAAATTCTGCTTCATATGAATACAAAGATAGGTCTGCTGATAAGGGGGCTCAATTGGTACCTATGGGAATTCCAATAGATTGCAAATTAATGATCTTTTATGTAGTCTATACATGTAAATGTTTCACAAAAATCATGGGGCACACTGATGTACTACTTTCAGGTGCTACAATGCTCAAAATGTCTAAGATTTTACGCAATTACTAGCACAAAACAAAGAAATGCTGATATAGTTTTTTCCATGAATTGAAAAATGCTGACATTTTTAAAAAATATTTATTAATCATTATGATGAACAGAAGCAGAATTTTCTGAGTTTGTGGACATCGATGCAGGCAGATTGCTTGCCATAAGCATTAATTCTACTAATATCACTAATCATTTTATAGGAATGATCAACTTCATCAAACTGCATAGTGGCTTCAAATAATGCATCCCCAGGAACAGTGCTGAATGTCAACTGATAATTCACTTGAGCTTTAGATCGGTCTCCATATTTCACAAACCTATTGATGACGTCATTTTTACTCTCCTGAAACCTTAACACTTTTTCGGACGGAAGTAATTTAACTGCAGTTTTGATTTTTCCCAATTTAAGAAATGCACATTTATTAGACACTTCCACAAGTTGACTGTTTATGTTCTTTATCATATAACTTGCAATCTTTTGTACAATTTCATTGGTCGGAGATAATGTTTGAAATTCTGCGCATGTGCACCAATGAGGAAGTATTCCTGCATCCTCACATCCTCTGTCTTCCGGTATTTCCTTAAATAAACTTATTCCTCTATTTTTAAACCCCTTTCTTAACGAAATAGATTCATTAAAATAGAGAATATCAGACAGAGTCTCGTAAATGTCGAATGGCGTCGTCAACCTGTGGGTATTTGTCCTTAGATTTTCTGCATACGCAGGATATTTTGCCAGAAACCATTGTGGAAAAACAAAGAAGAGGAAAGGCAATCGTTCCTCCATTTTTCCGATGTACGACTCACGAAGTTTGCCAAATCGCATTCCATGATCACTGAATAAAATTAATACTGTGTTGTTCAGCTGTTCGTTTTCTCGTAGTTTCTTCAGAAAATTTAAATACGGAATGTCTGCATATCCAGCACTTTGGAGGAAGTCGTGAGTTAAACCAGTGATAAACGAAAATGCAAAATGTGGTTCGTATTTGTATTTATCCATAAAGTTATAGATGTAGCTGAGGATAATATCCGTTTCTAGCCGGTCTGTGACACAGTTATGGCTGTCATACCACACACTTTTATCTGTTGTCATGGCCAATGAGAAGTGTCGGTTGAAGTAATCCGCTGGCGACCGATGAAAACCAGATTTAAGATAATCAAAGATGGCGATCTCAGGTGCATCCTCTGCATAGAGAGTCCTGTATCCTTTCGAAGCGAATTTTTTCCAAATAAAATCGTATTTGTCAAATGGAATTTTACTCATACTTTCGTTCCATGGTACCTCTTCTAAGAATTTTCCCATCGTCATTGGAACAATATTTACAAACGTATTGTCCGCTACCTTATTATAACCTGTCATTTCAAAAGCACTGAGTTCCTCTATTAAAAATGTGCGCATGCGTTTTAGATATCTTTGTGAGTTAAGCTTTGAGATCGAATCCACACCAATCATTACAACATTAAACGTCTCCTTCACGTACGGACTGTTCTTATGTTTAACAAACGCAAGTGAGCACCTTTCTTCTACGTCCGGTTTCGGTAAAATGAATTGATGAAAATTTGTATAAATTTTTCCGTGATTGCGGTTGTAGCACATGACTCTGATAAATTCATGTTTCATGTCAACTGTACCATTGATTTCGTCACTGATTTCCAGATATGTCAAATAATTGTTGTCATGGTTATCTGGAGGTCTATAAATAGGCTGATATCTACAGTACCCAAATTCTTCACCCCATCTTGAATGGCTGACTGCTGTCCAATTGATTTGAAGTTTGGTTCCATTTTCAAATGTTAGGGATGGCCTCTTGTTACATAAAATCGGATTTTGTTGAGGCTTGATAAATTGCGCTACTGAAGGGTCAAATGGGTCAAGGTTAGGAATTTTACAAGCCGGGGTGTCCACGAGGTAAGGCGTCCTGGCGTGCCACGACCTTGGCATTTCAGAGCTAATGGAGCGTCGGTGGAAGGTTGTGTTGATGAACTCGATGGTGGACAAGACAGCAATGGTGGAGAGAACGGTGACTGCCACCTTAAGGTACAAAACAAAGGAACAACGGGAAAGCATCCTGTAACGAAAGTATTGTCAGAACTTCTTAGCCAGGAATCAATTGAATAAATGTCCAAATTATGGTAATTCAAGGAATGTGCTCGTACTACATTATAAGTATTTCTTTTTATAGGTCGAGTATAGTATAAAATTAGGGGCCTATATGCAGTTTGTAAAAATGGGATGAAAATGTTGCATATACATAAATAAATGTTCAGTCTGTTATACATTAAGAGTTCGGTAGCCTACAAAATGTAATGAAATTTGGATTATTTTTATGAATTATTTATCAATATAGCCTTACCCTCAACTAATTTCAAGATCAAGCTTGCATATTTTATCCATGTCTAACACTGAAAAATAGGGATACGTCTCTGTAAAAAACTTAACTCATGGATATATTATAAAAGGTAAATAAAAACCATCATGAAGGTACAGGGGTATTTAAATTCATGTCCATCATTTTGCAAAGCATTTAATCTACAAAAGAAAAAAGTGAAGCAAGTAATGGATAGATGGGTATTTCATTTAATGCAAGGAACACTATTTTTAATGAAGAGTACTATACATGTATATTTTAAAATCACCTTTGGGGTGTACTTTTTGGAAGCATTTCATGTTTGAAATATATGTTGAGAGAGATAGAGGGGGGGGGGGTAGTAGTAGTAGTTTTTCAAGTGTGATGGGCCTCCCATTTTTTTTTTTTTTTTTTTTGTATCTCGGTATAGTTTTCTTAGTTTTGATTCTTTTCATACGTTCAATGAAGTAATTTAGTAACTTTAATGGCATTGCAAACTTTATTGGAAGAAAAATTAGTAACCTGGGGAAATTCCAGGCACGTAGCATCGTTTTTGAAAGTTGGGGGCAAGCCATAGAATTTTTTTTTACTTTCCTGTAAAAGTTGACAAGCAGAAAAAAAAGAAAAGGAAATTGCCAAAACTCGAAAATCCTATTTGGTGGTGGGGGTGGGGGTAGTGGCCAACTTTTTTTCAAGGCCAACTTCCTTTCATTTCCATTTTTGCATACAATACTGCATTTCATTGATAGCCCTCTACCGTGGTTAGAAGTGGGGGAGGGGGGGGCAACCAACCTTTCAATGGACATTTTCAATAGTAAAGGTATTGTTGGGAAAAAAAGTGGGGGGGGGGGTGCCCCCCCCCCCCCCCCTTTGCTACGTACCTGAATTCATCAGAATTCAAGCAGTTTTTTTAAATTTAATTCTTTAAAAACCCGTAGTGTTACATTTGCAAATGTTGACCAATGACTTACATGTAGAAAGTTGTAAAAAAAAAAAATGGAAGCTTTACCGGTAAAAGTGAGAAGAAAACTAAACTAAATCATTTAATGTACAAAGGAAAGAAGACGGAGGAATTGATGGAGTATTTAAGCTGTGACTCCACCAATATGTCAAACGCCAACATGGTTTTACAGTCGACATTTTTTGTCAATATATAAAGTGAATCTATTTAAAAATATATATTTAGCTGTTTTTGAATTACTGGTTGACCAAAATATTATGTTGTAAATTTTGAATTTACTGGGGGGGATACAAATTTTATACTTGATAATTAAGGGGGCCGACTATAGTTTTATTGAGTAAAAACTACAATAGGGAAACTCATCATTTTAATACCATATATAACTTACATTAACTTCAGAGTACATGCAAAGTTTGGGGGAAATCTACCGTGAAGGTATTTTTGAGGGACCGTCTCAAAATATAGGTATATTTACAATAGGATTATATAGGAAAATGCCAATTTTTAGCACTTTACAGCAAATTATACAAATACTACAATAGACATTTTGTTCAAACTGTAATATTTGATGAGTAATACTATATTATACAATTTATGTAAACATAAAATTCTACCGTCTTGTTACCAGAGGGGGCATCTCAAAATGCAAAAAAATAGCAAAATTTACTAGTTTTATCGAGTATTACAAAATATGACGCACACAATGGATTCACATGAAAACATAATAAAAATATTGGAGATATTCTCACATTTTTATGTTTAAAATTTCAAGAGCGTATGTTATTACTTTTTCTATAATAATATTTTTATTACCCCTTTCTTTAAGAGCTACAGATTATCATAACGTCAAAAACACACTGCAACGACGTCAACCTATACCTATCAATTGAAAATAAGTTAAAAAATCAGTTATATCACATTGTAATTAGATTTTTATACCTTTGTTTTCTTAATTTTGTTTAATTTTAATAATTAAGCGAAAAAAAGTTGCAAGAAAACCGTAAATACGCTTCATTTTACTATGATGCGCGAAATATTGCGCAATGGAAAGTATAGTCGCCCCCCTTAAATGTACATCTGACAAAGATTATTTTGCTTTTTTTTATCTCCACATATCATCTGTTTTGTGAATAAATACTCCATTGTAGACTGCCCCCTGTCCAGATGCGAGTACTAGTATCTAATGTCTCAGAATTCATTCGGAATATCCTGTGTACAGTGGATTAAACTACAGGGGGGCCAATTTATCAGCTTCCTCATGCAGCCAAAGTTATCTTGACATATGTGTGTCCACTATGCACAACAAAAAATCAAAAAAGTCCTCCAAGGACTATTTATAAATAATTGATATATATTGGTTGATATCGGAATAAAATTTGCAAATTTGGTTTAAATTCTAAGATTTTTGTCATGTACCATGCTTACCCTTTTATAGTATTCATTTATTAAATGTGTTGTTCCCATCTTCTCAAGTCATGCAATTTTTGACATCGCAATTGATAATTTTAAAGTTCATAGATGTTTCGCAAGAAAACTATTCAGTGGTACATACCTTTGTCAACTCAAAAACTTGCAAACAAGATCAACATTTTCTTTTGTTTACATGTCAGAAGTTAGCATCATCGATGAAATGGTACCCCAGACTGTTCACGTGTTCATCAACGGATATATGGTCGATATACAAAGGATGGTAAATGTTAAGAACTTAAAAAAGAACACAATAAAACTTACCTTCTAGACGACATTAACTGATTCTGTACTGTAACTTTGAACGTGTGTAACGTTTTGGAAACTGATGATGATATCGAGATCTTGCACTCTCTTGACTGCTTTATCTACCGAGTGTGTTTTCTGTGCTGCGTCTGGCTGACTCAGCGGGGAGCGGATCTCGGATTTTATCTTGTGTGAATATGCTAATGTAACATTGGGTACTTTATAAAAATAGTGTACACACTTTCAAGGATAAACAACTTTTATCTTGGACATTTTTAATCAATACGCATCCTTTATATTACCGTGCGTCGTCGAAAGCTTAGGATTTTCGCTCAAAGAAATGGGGGATTAAAATCTTTTGACGATATAAAAGTGCAACGTGTGCATGTTAATTTCGTTAATAAACATGATAAATTCGGCCTCATATAGATGATATTTTTTCAAGCAAGAGCATGTTTAAATTTCGAGGAAGAAAACTTCTCTTAAGTCCTGTCTCTTATTGAAATTCATTAAATAAGAATTAAACACACATGCATTATTTCTGAAATTTTTATCAAAATGTTTTGTTTTGTGTGGATTAATTGAAATATATTGACAAATTGATTCTACAATTTAGTATATAATTAAAGAATTAAACTCAGGCATGTAGTACAAGTATCAGGATGCCAGGGTCCCTTTCTTTTATGGACATAATTTTTTTCATAGAAAATTTCATTGAAATTCTACCCCCCATTGTTTCAGTACAGTCAAACAAGTGTCCTCTACAAAAATTTGAATTTTTCAATTAAAATTTGTATATGACAATTTAATTGAAAAATTCAAATTTTTGTAGAGGACACAAGGGTAATGTAGTGTTTGATTAAAAAACTGAAATGGAAAAAGAACTGCGAACGATATAGTTCGTTTTCAATGGAAAGTATTGTCTACCCCCTTTTTTCAAGAGCTGGAATTATGGATAATTTACTCTTTACTATTTAGCGTTGGTATTAATTTATATAATGAATCAAATGTTTACAAAATGTAGGCGGGAATCGAGAGTTAGCGTGCGGATTTCTTTGGTAGTGAAAGATGGTATTAACCCCCCCCCCCCTCCCTCAGGAAATGGAATTTTCGAGTTTGGACAACTTTTCTTTTTTCAGTAACTTGAATTGTTTTACCCAAACAATTTTTCCATTTTTATACCTTAAAAAAAAAATCAAATAGTAACAACCCATTGGCAAATTGAAAGCGGAGGGGGGTGCTAAACCAACAACCCCCCCCCCCAATTTCCATTGCCTATAGCAGATCTATCTTTGGAAAAAAAGTGGGGGGCTAAGTCCCCCTAGCCCCCCCCCCCCCTCCCCCATTTCGGCGTCTATGCAACCTTTGTAATCCCTGAGCTCACACTCCTAGATCCGCCTCTGTCACCATTTTCAATCACGAGGAGTTCCGAAGGTTAGTAGTTTACAAGGATAGCCTGGTACCATTTACAAGGATTACGCACGAGGATGACGGATGTAAATATTTACACACACTGCAAAACACGTGTTTGAAGTCACCGGAAGAATCGTTTCATAAGATCGAATTTGGGACATAGATATTTGAATGCATCAATCTGCTTTCATTATATTTGCTTTAATTTTTTTTGTTGTGTAACGGCAATATGTATAAATACTGAAAGTTAAAGCCGAGAGTCAGAGACCATTCAAAAGTTCGTAAGTATGATTTCGTTACAATATTTTAAGATAATCTAACAAATTGAGACTTAAAATAATTCTGTTTAATATATGCAGTGTGCATATCAAATTGATTTGAACAAACTTTCTTTACTCTCACTACACGTTCATCGAAAAAATATAATTTTCTCAAAAAATTGTCATTGAATTACATGTTGAACTGTTCAACAACAAACAGCTTTTAATTAAGATTTCTAACCAAAAATGAAGTACACCTTTGTTACTAGTACTGTATTTGGCATTTTGGCAAGACACCAGAGTGTTTCTTATATAATCCTTATGGTTAATCTTTTGAGTTGCCATTATCACAAGTTGGTGCACATGACATGTTTAAAATTTATTTTTTAAAACATTGATAATGAAAACAATTTAGAATTCTATCTGATCATGCTGATAATACCATTACCAATATAAGTGTAACCGTATGCATGACAAACAAAACACACATTTGACATGTTTGTCGCGGAGGAACATATGTCATCATAATACCTTATAATTACCTACATGTAACTTGTAGCATTAAACCTAGCTGTATCTATTTATATTCAGCAGGTTATTACATCGTGGACCATTTGAAGATCTTGTTAATTTATCTACCTTGCCCTCACTATAAAGATGACCAGCGTTCTGAAAGCCATTGGCTCTGTTGTGACGTCTAAAGGTCTGGACAAACCTGTGTATGAAACCCTCAGCTCAGATAAGGTAATGTGTAAGCTGAGATTCCATGTCAAGTTCATATCTTCACCATGTCAAGGTTTTATGATTTCATTTGTGTAGAGGGACAATAGCTCAACTAATCCGAGATTCATCTGACTCTAACCCCAACTTGTGTAGGGGTAAGAGTCTTACGAATCTCGGATTTAAAAGCATATTTGTATATTTGTGAGCTAAAATTGTATATGTTATATACTTTTGAGCTAATTATAATATAATGAGCTCACTCACAGGACCTCAAACTGAACGAAAATGTTATTTTAAGGTATATGTATTTTTTGTAATTATTAATCTCACTTGATTCACGATTTGGTGTGGGAGCTAGGCTATGAGAATTAAGAAACTGTTCTGTTCTGTTCTGCAACTGTTCTGTTCTTGAAAAGAATAGATAATCATAAATGGTGATCATGATAACCATTAATTGTACTGAAAATGATATAGTACAAGCTTGATAGTCATTACATGTTTCAGAATTTCAGGACTTTTAACCTTTGAAGTTTTAGGGTACAAACTATATGTGTACTGTCATTTCTAGTGTCTTGAGAAGCGTAAATATCGAGCAGCTAAGTGGGTCAGCACCACGGTACAGGGTATGAATCATGAGGAAGCCAGAAGTGTCGGCTTCCAGAGGTTGTTCCAATACATCACAGGAAACAACAAATCAGGTATCAGACGTTTATTGTATGTTATTGTTACTTTAGGGGTATGAATTGAGGCGATACAGTCCGGCAAAGTGGGTCAGTTACACAACAAAACATATGAAGCAGGAGAAAGCGAGAACAGAGGGGTTCTGGAAATTGTTTAATTACATTCAGGGAGAGAACGAGAAAGGTGACATATACACCTGTTGTCTTATTGCTTCTGGAAATGGGGTTATATCTCTGCATGTTTTTTCTTTAAGGCTTAACACACAGATTATAACTTGTATGTTACTAACATTTTGTCCTCTCCAAATATATTTTTAAAATTGATAAGACCCTGGTGAGGTGTATGGGTGTATAAGACTCAGTACAGGCACGTAGCATCGTTTTTGAAAGTGGGGGGCCAACCAGAGAAAATTTTTTTTTACTTACCTGAAAAAGTTGACAAGCAAAAAAAAAAAAAAAAAAAAAAGCAACAGTTTATTGTCACCCGAAGTTGAAAATCCTATTTTGTGTGTGTGTGTGTGTGTGTGGGGGGGGGGGGGGGGTGTTAGTGGCCAACTTTTTCAAAGCCAAATTACTTTCACTTTCAATTTTTTTCTTACAATTCCTTGATAACACTATACTGTGATAAAAAGTGGGGGGCCAACCTTCCTTTCAGAGGACATTTCCTATAGTAAAGGTAATGTTGGCCAAAAAAGTGGTGGGGGGGGGCAGGCCCCCCCGGTTGCTACGTCCCTGCAGTAGTGGGAGGTTCTAAAAAATTGATAAATAGATCTATTCATAAAACTGACATGTCATATTAATTAACATCTTATAATATACAATCATGTTGTTATAATTAACTGAGCACAAAGTAAGAAAATGGGTCTTTTTAAAACATGAATTGTTATTAGTTTTAGACATTTTTACGCTTATCAAAACAGAATGCATGAAACTAACATTTATTGTATGATTATAACATGACTTTATTATAATACTGTATATTAAAAATACTTTTGAATTTTTCAAAAACAATGCTACTTTGCAATTCTAAATTTTTGCTTATTGGGAGGAGGGTTAAAATTTAATAATAAATTGACAATGTATCCCTAAAACGTTGACAATAAAAGAAAATGAAAAAAAGAAATAAAGTTACTATTTCCAAATGTATTAAGATATATATATAAAAAAAAAAAATACTGTAAAATTATATATTTTCGTGGGGTCAAAATTTCGAGGCTTGAGGAAAAATATTGTTTTGTGGGGATTTGATTTCGTGGTTGGATAATGTTTAGTAAGTAATGCATATGAAATTTTACATTTGAATTTTCGTGGTGGTCATCAATTTGTGGATCTCTTAATAACCTCAAAAACAAAGAAAATTAAACCCCAGGAAAATTAGTGATTTCATAGTAATTGAGTGTGAAGATGTAAGGTAGATTTAAATAAAATGTAGAGCTGCTTTCTTTTGTTTTCATTAAATGTTTTAATTTTTACCTTATATTTATCTAATCAATTGAACAATGTATTCAACAGAAATGAAGATTGATATGACAGCACCAGTTTCAACCAAAGTAGAACCAGGCGCCGGTCCCAACTGTGAGAGCACTTTTACTGTGTCTTTTTTCATCCCACCCGAGCACCAAGAAAACCCCCCTCAGCCAAAAAACCCAAATGTATTCATTGAGGAGAGACCTGAATTTGAAGCCTACGTAAAAACGTTTGGAGGATTTGCTAAGGAGGATTCATGGATAAACGAAGCTCAGAAATTGTCAGAAGACTTGAAAGAGAAAACGAACGAGGTTCGTCAGGATTATTGGTTCACGGCTGGTTATAATAGCCCATTTCAACTGTTTGGTAGAACCAATGAAATCTGGTTTGTTAAAAAGTGATTTCGTGACAAAGTGTGAAAATTAGAATAAATGACTTGTGAAGCACAAGTGTATCAGGGTTTAATAATTACCGAAGAATGAGAACAACGAGGAATTTAATGAAATTAGGTAGCATCCAGTTTCATGATTAGATTTGAAATGTGCATTGGAGTAGCATTCCATATACAATGTAGCAGTGCTAAGCACATGTTTGTTTTCCTATTAACAGTGCTTTTGATTGAAATCTCTGTATTTCATGCAACTTTTAAAGTTTTCTTTTTAGAAGAATTCATCTTTTTGATATGTATAAGTACTTATATTCTGTGGAAGGTTGTTATCTGTGATAAATCTTATGTCCATTCTGTAAAAAAATTTTTAAAAATATTGTTTTTTATTTTGCAAAATTTGCAAGAATGTCTGCTTGCGAAAATTTCATTATACACAAAGTCTTTATGCATTGTATTTACAGCAATTATAGCCATGATTCTTATTCATCTTGTGTATGAAGATCCAAAAATTATCAGCAAAAATGTCACTTCATTAAATATCTACAGTATTCATTAGATACAGCTGTTGAATTCTATAATTTCTGTACATTTATATGTAATGCATTGATCAACCCAGCATTAAATATAATTTAAGGAAAAAACAAGTGCCATGATTCATAATTTATTTTTGTAAAATATTATAATATTAAAGAATTCGTAAAACAAGCATTACAATTATCTTGCTATCATATACATAGTCAAATACAGGAACATGCTTCTATAAACAATACATATATTACTTTTAACTGGATTTTAGGAAAGTTCATTTGAAACATATGGAAACACATGATGCAGACAATCATTCACAATTTATATTCAAGTCCAAGATGAAATGTTTGTGAAGGTATGAGGGTTTCCCTCCTGAATTACACATCCCATGGTGTTTTATTTATGCAGCATCCGCAGGAGCACTCTGACCCAGGGTGAACTGTCTTCTGTAACGATTGGCCGCTCTTTTCACATTCTGAAGTTCCGATGCAAGGAATCTCTGGTCGGACTCACAGTGTGCTAGAACAGTCTCTTTCACAATCGTCATGGCGGACTCTGTGGTGCGGTCCTTAATGGCCTCTTTCACCCTGGCAGTTATGTCCCTGAGGTGGGGCAGGTGGGGGTCGGGCAGGTGAAGGTGGTGGTTTCTGCCTGGTTTAAACGAATCCCCCCGCTGAATGATGGAGGCATGACAGTTCAAGGAAGCTGACCTCTTACTGCAAGTCCATATAGTACTTCTCTGGTTGTCTCTCTGTAATTAAGGTTTATTGTTTTTAATATTGTCATTAATTCACTGGGGCATAGATTGAAGATCCATAGAGAGAGAAACTGAAATCTTTTATTATGGTGTTTTTTAAAACTTTTTTTCCCAGAAAATGTTTTTATCATTATCACATCTGTTTTAAAAAAACATCTTTTATAGGCCTATTTGTAATCAGCGATAAACTTTCGGTTTTTACATGTATAATGTGTACCTTGACTGTGTAGGCGTAGCCATCCGAGGACACCAGAAGACGCCCACCTCTCTTACTGCCCTTCTCGAGGACTCTGAAGGTCACTGGGGAATCCTCCAAAACAGCACCCAGTGGAGGGATGTCGTCTTCCTCACACCTAAAAGAAGACATTAAATAATGATAATGGTATTGGAACCCCCTCTCCCCCACTTCCAGAATCAAGTGCGAGTATCCCGGTCGTGTTCTAATAATTTCAAATTTATTAGGTTAATTTCACCTTTGGCAGTTTAGGAAATTCAATCTTCATCCTATTCCCTTTTCTGTAAAATGAATGCACGTACCTTTCATCATGGAATACAGGAACGCTCTTCTGGATGCCGTCTCTGACGTCAAAGGAATCGTCGAGCATGGCATGGTCACTGTTAACCTCTCTGTTGTGGGAGGGATCTGATAACACAGGGAGAGGCCTGGATAGCTTGTCAGCCTGTTGCAAATAAAATTGAATAGTTAATATAAAAATAAGAAATTAAGGATTTTTTGCTCTTTATTGTCAAGTGGCACAATTAATACATGTGTATTAAATGGATGAATAAATGCACTGAAATTCTACGTATCAAAACCTAAACTCGTCAGCTTTTTGGAAAAGTTCACGCAAAACCTCTTACTTCAAAACTATTTATCAAAATTTAATTTTTTTAACATATTTAATTTCAACAATGTTAATGTTTTAACATTCAACGAAAAAACTGCTCAAAAAGATACAAAGAAGCTAGATTTATGAGCGACTATTTCTTGTTGTGGAAGGATATTTAGCAGATAATTCTGTAAATCTGCACATATATTAAATTTAGAATCTTGGAACTTTAGCCTCACATACTTTTACTTTGAGAATATTTTCCATTATGATATTTGCTAGGAATATTTAATATGAGTCTTAATTTATATTTTTAGAACAAGTTTTACACCCTCCTTCAAATAACTTTGGCAAAAAATGAAGATATGTCAAATAAGTCAATATAAAATTTACACCAATTTTTTCCGGAAAATCACTTATTTTGACCAATATTTCAAAATCAACATCACTGACCCCAATTTTTTCTTTCATTATTATAAAGTACTCGATACTTGTGACTGATCAGCACTTAAGTTGCAAAAAGCTTGATTTAAGAAAATGTTTTATTGCCAATTTAGTTTTTTAATACCCCAAAATATGTTACTTTTTAGTGCAAAAAGGTCACACAATAATTTACGTGCATTAATTTGTAAGATTTTTTCAATTTATAAATATTATTCAAAATATTTTACGTAAAGGAAGTTGATATTTTTTGCCATGGTTACATCTGATAAACTATAATAAAGGTTTAAGTAATTAACCAAAGAGTTAAAATTTAAGTGCAAAAAGGTCAACTTCGTTGTACCGTAGATCAGTAAGATGAACACTGACCCCCTATTTTCTCTGCGATTTTGAGTCACTCTATATGAGCACTTATCCAAAATATACTTCTCAATAAATCCTTGATTTAACCAATTTCACGAGTGACATACCTTAAATTTCAAATGTATTGCAGGATATTAATTTTATAAAGACATCTATGAAAGATTGCTCTTTTATATCAATTTACCTGAAGTGCTGGATTCTCTCCAATCTTGATTTTCCTTCTGTAACGATTGGCCGCTCTTCTCACGTTCTCCAGGTCCGATGCAAGGAATCTCTGGTCGGACTCACAGTGTGCTTCAACAGTCTCCTTCACAATGACCATGGCGGACTCCGTGGTGCGGTCCTTAATGGCCTCCTTCACCCTAGCAGTTATCTCCCTGAGGTTGGGGTGGGGGTCGGGCATATGAATGTGGTGGCGAACTCCTTGCTTAAAATGACCCCCTCTCTGAGTGACAGAAGAGTGGCACGTGAAATTGGTTGACCGCTTGCTACATCTCCATAAAGTAGATCTTTGGTTCTCCCTCTACAAAGAAAAATTCTGTCATTCTTGTGTGCAAACAGATAATATTTTTCAACAATAAAATTTACGAACACAGATGAATTATTGCTATTTGAGGGCTTTGAGAGGCATCTTGTGAATGTGAAGAAGTTACGCATGATACAGAGATTTTTATATTAATAATTATTTTCAAATAAATAATTAAAATTGATTATAAATTTAAACAATAAATACACCATCATTGTTTTTTGTGTGTTAAAACGCGAAATTACGATGCCATTAAAATATAGTTTAAGAGTTATCACCCTTTTTCAAAAACTTAAAGAAAGACTTAAAAAGTGGTTTCCCCTTCCATATAACCTTAACTTATTTTAATTAACATGCGAATCGATCATAGGAATATCTTAACAAATACAATTTTTCCCAAGTCGGCAAGATAGTGTATGTCGGTGATTATTTATCTGGTGTGTCACTATAATATACCTTGACAGTGTAGGAGTAGCCATCACTGGATACTAACAATCTTCCTCCTCGTTTGCTGCCCTTCTCCAGAACTTTAAAGGTCACTGGCAAATCTGCAGATAGTTGACAGTCCTCTGTAGACCCATTCTCTTCGCTCCTATTAAAATAGACAATATAGAATAAAAGTAAATTAAGGTAAAAATGGAAACATTTATGTATACTTTCTGTTTTTAAGGATGCCACTTTTATGTTTTTTTTTTTTTTTTTTTTTTTATTATTTTTTTTCTTTATACAAATTCACTAATTTAGTAAACTTTAAATCTATATACATGTACATGAATCACTTGAATAAAGTATATTATTTCCTATCTAGCTTGTAACACGAGCTGTGATTGGTTACAAAGTCGGGTGTAAATATCCGTGCACCCGACTTGAGCCGGGTGTAAATAAAACGTGACGTCACAATGCATACATTCTCAGTACGTAGTTATCTAATCGATAGATTGAGACACACGCTGATGTTTACAAAGCATTTTTATTGGTACAAAAGAAATAAATTCGTTATCCAGGTTCAATCAAGGGTGTACGGGGATTTACCCCGGGTTTTATTCCATACACCCTTCGGCCTGAACCTGGATAACTAATATTTTGTGAAGGGCTTAACGTATTTACATCCTCCTATGATGTCCTAGGTTTTTTTGCAAAGACTGCAAGTTATTGATCTAAATTCATACCCAATAGAACAATAATTATATTTCAAAAGAATGTTTTTCAATGGGTGTAATGATAAATATTGTTAACGATATTAAAGAATTTTGAAAATTTAGATATTCTTTATTTGATCAGGTATTCCTATTCTTTAAAGTATGTTAACAATGGCAATAACTCCCTCTCAGCTATCTTCATTCAGGTATATTTTTTGTTGAACTTCTAACATATAATAGTTTCCCTGATATTCACAATTCAAAAGTATTTGATAAGTAGCAAATTTTTCGGAGCATTTGAAACAATTTTTACATAATTTATAATACTGTTTACAAAAATTGTACAATAATTATTACATGTATCATGATTTTTTTATGTTGTCATATACTTCTGTTTATTTATGTCTCCCATATTAAATACCTGGTAATATGGCAACATTTACATTTTTTGCAATAATTGGCAAATTAAAACTATATCGAAAATGAAAATAACTGCAGATTTTGTACTTTGAACCATTTTTTAAATCATAAGGGTGGAAAGACCTTGATGAGAATTGACATACATGCAGAGTTTCAGAAAATCCGGTACAGAGTCCTTCTCTGGAAAGTCCCTAATATCGAATGCTGCGTTAAGTATGTTGACAGTATCTTTGCTGTGATGTTTGTTCGTAAACCAAGAGCAACGTTCCATTCTTTTTTCTCGTAGGCCGTAAATCTGCAAAAGAGACCAACAATTAATTCAAAGGATGATAACATTTCAAAGAGCAAAGACAGCGCTTTGAAAGCATTTGACAGGAATCAAGGTTCACCCATTATGTTAAAAGTTTCATTGAACTTCAACATGAAATTTTCGCATTCTTGATATGTTTTCGTACATTTTGTTTTTATTTTGCAAACAAGGAAATTTAAAAGGAATAACAAGGAAATTTGGCTGTAAGATTTTGTACATAATAGTACATCGTGACTCTTGAAATGAAAAACAAACAAGAATTAACCCCCCCCCCCCCCCCCCGCTTTCAGGGTCTCTGTGTGAGATGTCATTAGGTACGCCATATTGTGTCAAATATTGACGACCTATATGTCAATCAAAAGTTATAAACAATGTTTTTTTTTAATCTAGGTCAAACATGAGGGTCAAAGGGTTCAGAAATCATAGCATGCTAGGAAATATCTTGTCCAAGGTACTAGTAATACATATGTCAAGTATGAAAGCCCTATCATTTCTTTATCCAAAGTTTTAAAGGAACATTTTTGAAGTCATGTCAAGTCTACTAGGTCAAACGTTATGGTCAATGTCACGGGGTCAAAAAGCATAGTATATGAAGAAAGGTCTTGTCACAGGTAATATACATGTGAAATTTGAAAGCACAATCTCTTCTAATTCAAAAATCTTTTCATCCAAAAGTTTAACCAAAGTTTTTGAAAAAGCAGGTCAAACTTCAAAGTCACGGGGTCAAAAAACAAAGTGTATTTAAAAAGGGCTTGTCACAGGTAACACACAGGTTAAATACTTAAGCCCTAGGCCTATCTCTTCTAATTCAAAAGTTTTGGTCAATTTAAAGTAACGTTGTTTTTAGAACTAACTCCAAGTCAAAATTCCTAGTGCTTTTAGAAAGGTCACAGGTAATACACATAAGTAATTTGAAAGCCATATCTCTTCTCATTCAAAAGTTATGATTTTTTGTGACAAACCAGCGACCAAATGAAACATTAGCTGCAGAACTGTAGCGTTATGGTTTTATATATTAGTCTTCGACCATAACGCTACAGATCCCGTAATGCAAAAAATGTGCAATTTACGGCGCAAGATTTTTTGCGCACTGTTTGGAAGAATTTCCCCTCTTCCCAACATTGTTAAATTATTTACCTTTCCCTCCATAATTCTAGAAACATTTTTGAATACATCTGAATATTTTATCCACTTCCCAACCCTTTATAGTTGTCTCTACAAGCGATAAACTTGCTTGAATTAAAATTTTCTGCAATCCCTCAGACTATTCAACTCAAGCCAGTTTATCGCCTGTAGAGACGACTATAAAGGGTATAGAGGTAGATAAAATATACAAATTGGTTTAAGAATGAAATTAAGGGGTGAAAGGTAGATGATTTACCAAAGTTGGAAAGGGAAGAAATTTTCCCAAATAGTGGGCAAAAAATCTTGTGCCGTAAATTGTACATTTTTGCATTACTGGATCTGTAACGTTATGGTCTAAGACACTTCACATCATGACAAAACACTTCACATCAAGGAAAATGCACATTTAATGACAAAAACACTACATCAAGACAAAAACAGTTCTCACATCATGATAAAAACACGTCACATCATGACAAAAACTCTTCATATCATGACAAAAACTCTTTACATCATGGAAAATGCACATATAATGACAAAACACTGCGAAACACTTTTGCGGAACTGTTTCAGTGCACACTGAGTATAAAACGGGGTTATGAAAGAAAGAGAATTCCTCTTTTAGATGAGCTTTCAGTACGTCTTATCAACGTTTGTTATACCGATTTACACAAGGAGCTGTGATAAAACCAATACAAGATGAAAGACAACATATACAGATCAAAGTAAATTTCGTTAGGTATGCACAAGGGTGCCTTGTGGCAACGCACTTTGAAAAGAAGCAAAACGCCAAAGTTAGATTTTTAGAATTTAAACCACGATCTTCTAAATTATAGTTGTTATAAAATATAGTTGTTATATTGAACATTGTCAGAAGTCCTTTCAGCTATAACCATACGATGAAGTTTTAAAAGCAAGAAGTAATTTTCAAATTATTTGATCACCTCCAACTTAGAAATTCAAATATGTATGGGGATTTTCAAATAATGCAATTTTAGAAAGGATTCACCTTAAATTTTGTAAATACTACATTTATAAGTATATTTAGAAATTCTTGGAACTAGCATTACATTTATGTAATATGAGAGCACTATCTCTTCTTATTCAAAAGATATGAAGTTTTTTAGAGGCAACAACAAATGACAGATGGCATGACCTAAATTTCCCCTCGCCATCGTAAAATCGGAGGACAAAAGCAAATTCAAAGAACTGTGGTCCCCCGTTTTAATTCAAAAGGTTGAGATGCATTTTTATAGCAAAAAAATGAACACCTTATCCATGATGTCATTAGAAGTTATTCAGAAGTTGATGAACTAGGTCAATTGTGAATTAAGGGGTCATATTTTCAAGGTATTACACATGTCAAATATAGGATCCCTTTCTCTTTTTATATGTTATATTTAGAAAAATTAACATTTCATGGAAAAAATTGTCAAACTTCAAGGTCAAAAAATCAAAAATCATAAAGTTTAGAAAGATCTTGTCATAGACATTACACAGGTTTAATATAAAAGCCTCTCTTCTCATTGAAAAGTCATGACCAAGGTTAATATTTTTAAAAAGTAGTTAAAACTATAGCCGTTTTGATATATTTTGAAAACAAAATTTATTCAAAAATTTTGAGATATCTTATATATTTAGAGAAGTATCTCTTACCGGGGGGGGGGGGGGGGGGAAAATAAGATGTCTCTCAACTTAAAGATATTTACAATATAAAAAGATATCTAACAAAAAGATTCTCTATTTTTTAAAAGAGATATCTCTTTCACGCAGAGAAATATCACAACTTAAAATATCTCTTATAGAAAGATATCTCTCAGTTAATACAGATTATATTTAAAAGATATCTTTTTCGAAAGGATATATTTTTGTGACGGACGGACTTAACAACAAATGATATATTTTTAACTAAATGTCCCCTCGCTTTGGTAAAGTCGGAGGAAGAGATAGCAAATTCAAAGAACTGTTATCTCTCTAAGTTTTCCGTGTCATTTGAAGTGTTTTGTCATTTTTATAGCATATTTGTCAAATATCAAAGTGAAAACCTTATTATATGTCATTCAGAAGTTATGTGAAGTTGATTATTTTTTAAATTAATTTGTTGTGATGTGTAAGTGTTTTTGTCAAAATCATAGCATGCTCTTGATCCCAGGTATTACAAATGTCAATTATGTCCCTTTCTCTTCTGAAAAGTTTTAAAGAAAAATTAACATTTCTGAAAAATGTGTCCAACTGCAAGGTCATTAAAAATCAAAAATCATAATGTTAAAAGTTCTTGTCATGACATTACACAGGTTTAATAAAAAACACCTCTCTTCTCATTGAAAAGTCATGACCATGATGTAAATGTTTTTAAAAAGTATGTGAAGTGTTTTGCTATTTTGTGGAAAACAAAATTTATTCATAATATGAAGATATTTCTTCATTTTAGAGATTTTTGTACTGATGTGAAATGTTTTTGTCATGATGTGGAGTGTTTATGTCATGATGGGAAGTGTTTTTGTCATGATGTGTGAATTTTCCATGATGTGAGAAGTGTTTTTGTCATGATGGGAAGTGTTTTGTCATGATGTGAAGTGTTTTTGTCATTATATGTGCATTTTCCATGATGTGAAGTGTTTTGTCATGATGTGAAGTGTTTTTGTCATGATGTGAAGTGTTTTTGTCATGATGTGAAGTGTTGTGTCATGATGTGAACTGTTTTTGTCATGATGTGAAGTGTTTTATCATTAAAGTGTTTTGTCATGATGTGAAAAGTGTTTTGTTATGATGTGAAGTGTTTTTGTCATGATATGAGAAGTGTTTTCCATGATGTGAGAAGAGATTTTGTCCTGATGTTAAGTGTTTTTGTCATTATATGTGCATTTTCCATGATGTGAGAAGTGTTTTTGTCATGATGTGTAGTGTTTTGTCATTATATGTGCATTTGTCATGATGTGAGAAGTGTTTTGTCATGATGTGAGAAGTGCTTTTGTCATTAAATGTGCATTTGTCATTATATGTGCATTTGTCATGATGTGAAGTGTTTTTGTCTTGATGTGAAGTGTTTTGTCATGATGTGAAGTTTTTGTCATGATGTGAAGTGTTTTGTCATTATGTGTTACGCATTTTTCATAAGATCATGTACTTTAAATATAGTCATAACCTCGTATTTAAAGTCTATACATGTACGAGGGTTGTCCCGTAAAATCGTGGACAAGTTGTAAAGTGTGAAAAATAAACATCACTGCGTTCTGAAAATTTCACTATTATTTAGTACATATTTTAGTAATATACACAGCAAATTTCAGATAAATATATGCATAAATAAACAAATTATAAGATTTTATGCCATGTATTGTATCACCTTACGGCGCATGGATTTTAACGTCAAAGTGTCTAAAACAGCGTCACGTTTTATCTTTGCTGAAAATGAAGTTGGATGGGTCCGACTTAAATTTAGGAATTTCATTGATACACATTCTTTAGTCTCCATAAATAGCCGAAGAACCCATGCGATCTTCTGAAGATTTATTAGTAAGTTACGGACAATTTTCTAATCATCATTCAACTAATAGAAAATATCATATCGGCGGTCTACTGTGACAGCGTCTTTTGCTGTTACATTAGCAGTTTGTCCGTATGTTTTGTACTCCCTAGGGACTCGATCAAAAAAAAATTCGCTAAGGAAACTCCTATTTCATTTGTATACTTAAGATATGGTGATATTTTAATAATCTTTTATCTTCTATGGTAATTTCAAGTCTCTAAAGGTGTCATTACAACATCGAAATAAAACTGAACTGTTCTCCGGTGCGCCGTAACGTCATAAAACGTCGCCATTTTTCGTGTGTTGTGTTTACCACTTTCCCATTTCGAATGCTCGAGAAACTGCCAAAAATTAAGCAAATGCCTAAAAATTTTTACACAGACTACAAAATTGATTGTGGAATTGAATTAGGATAATTTCAATCCAAATCTTATGTATTTAAAACTTTTATTTTGAATTCAGACCTGTGTATTCTTTAATAAAACCTTGGTTTTTTGACCGTGCGCCGTAGGGAAATACTTCGTGCACATTCAAGCATAATAAAATCTTTATTTTTGCCTATATTTTATCAAAAAAATTATCATGCACTTAAATATGATAAATAAACATTTACTGAAATTTTCAGCTTAGTGCGCCCATTACTTTTCGAGAAAAACGCTTTGTCCACGATTTTACGGGACAACCCTCGTATATGTGGTGCAAACATTTTTTTCGCGATGTGCAAGTTTTGTCTTGTTGATAACGTTGATGATATTTTTTTTTTCCTTTCTACATATACTAGTATACAAAAATAGATGACTCAAAAATAAATCGGATATGGATTTAGTTTTTGAAATATAGTCATTTTATACTTAATTTTCATTCAGATAAATTCTGTATACATTCTACATATATTTTGTTTTTATGTTTCTTGAATTTCACTCATGTAGAGTGGAATATGACCCAATTCGTAGTTTCTGCCTAAATTACTAAATTACAGAGTTCCGTCCTACTCAGAAAGTTCCGAGATTTCTTTTTTGAGTAGGACGGAACTTTTTGGACAAGTTTAAGTGGGAAAAACTTGTAAGAAAACTTCTTCAAAGATGAAACCTGTGTTAGGGGTGGGTTGGGTTTCTTGTGCAATATTCAGAGAAAGGCGGGAAAAAACAGTCAAAAAGGGGAATGCTAGCCCTGACAAAAACACAACGTAATGGCACGCGATCTAATGAAATATGCATTTAAATATAATAACTACGTGTAAACAACACAACCTATACATGTAATGACTAAATAACACAACTTATAATGACTAAATAACACATCTTATAATGACAAAATAACACAACTTATAATGACTAAATAATACAACTTATAATGACTAAATAACACATCTTATAATGACTAAATAACACATCTTATAATGACTAAATAACACAACTTATAATGACTAAATAACACAACTTATAATGACTAAATAGCACATCTTATAATGACTAAATAACACATCTTATAATGA